GAACCTTTATGGTCAACACATAGAGTACACAGCCCAACTGTGCATACATTCTACTTCAAGCATTCTGGTCTAATAAGAAGTGACAGGAAGATCACCATTGCTTTCGGTTTGCAGCCATGACATTTAGTGTCTTCAACCATGCGGTTTCGGAGTCTTTTGAACCCCATCCCGGAAGGCGAGAGACACCTACTCTACTTAATGGCTCTATGCATTTCTTTATGCTTCGTCTCCACGTCATCTGTTAAACATTGCGGGGTTTCCTGAAGCCCAGAGGGGCTACAACGAATAAAGCGTACGACAGACGACAGCATACGCAATAAGCGCCCTAGCCAGAGAAACCTACTAATCTGAATACGGTGTGCTAACAGGATCATCCCTGATAAACTCCTGAACACAAGACGACTTACCCCCAGATTACTAACCCGCTTGTTCCATCCCACAGGGGCTGAACTACGTAAACACCGATAGTCGAAAACTTCTAGTCGACGGATATCTTCTACTCGCAAATTCAAGGTCTCAAAAAATTAAAACAGCACCGAACGAATGGTGGCCCTATAAACGCGGCCTTCCAACTTCAGTGAAACGTTGTTTCTATGCCAAAGGTGTTTCAGTCCTGTGTATGCGACTCGGGCCTTGGAAATGCGGGTGGTTATCTCCTTCGATGCGCTACCGTCGTTGGTCACGCAACTACCTAGGTAGGAAGAAATCCACCACAACTAATTCTTGACCATTTAGTTTTATAGCAGGAATGGGCGAAACCGAGTCCTGCAGCATCACTTCACACTTTGAAGGTGCAAAGCACATACCGGATGTGGCAACAGCACTTGTCAGTCTATCAGGTGCGCTTTGCGCGTCCTCCATACGATGTCATCGGCGTCCTCCGAATCGCAGTTTTTCCCCAGCTGCCTATTTAATGAGTACGTTTTGGAGACCACTACTTCGTGTACGACGTAATTGAACGGGAACGGCGAAAGAGGGCACCCTTGACGAACTTCGCTGCTGGTGACGAACTGTCTTAGTTCGTTGTAAACCCTTACGCGACCGGAGGTATGTGAGTACATTGACCTCAGAAGGTTAACGTACTTCTGGGGCATTTCTTTTAGAAGAAGGGAACCCATCAAAACTTCGCGGTCAACCGAGTTGAACACTCCTTTCAGGTCAAAGAACACTGCGATCGTGAGTGACGCAGCTTAAGGATCTGACACAAGGTGAAGATTTGATCAATACATCCACAGTCAGACCAAAATCCGGCTTGCTGTTCACGGATATTGGTCTCTTTTAAAGGCGTTAGACGTCGAAGTATAACCGAAGCTAGCACTTTGGTGACGATCGGGATCAAACTGATCCCGTGGTGGTTTTCGCAATCGTTGCGAGATCTTTTCTTGAAGATGGGAACGATCAGTTATTCGCCCCAATATGAAGGAATGTGCTCTTTCGTAGTAGGGTATTAATAGAGCTTACGAGGTTATTAGCCCCCTGCCCCCCCCCACACACAAATCTTGAAGAGTGGGAAGGAGCTCATCCAGTCCTGTTGCTTTTCCTCGTTTCAGAGCTTGAATGCAAGATCGAAATTCTGCTTCCGTTGGAGGATCGCATGACACCGCCCACGGAGTTTCAGCTGCAGATGAAGTAACCCGGTTAGCACTAGGCCAGCTGAACTGTCCGCTGAAGTATTCTGTCCAGCGGTCAAATCGATCATCCCTATTTGTCCCTTCTTATCGCAGACTGTTTCATTAACTGGAGTTCACCGACCTCCAGTGTTACGTGTCAGTCCGAACAGTCTTTGACTATTCCCTGATGCAGCCGCTACTTCCATTTCAGCAGATATTGTCGCTCACCAGTTCTCACGGTCCTTCTTGAGGCTCTTCGTAACCTGACACCTAATTCTATTTTGATCCCAGCAGGTCGGGATTTGCCGACTTTTATCCATCAAAACTACTGACTCCTGAGATAAACAATGCCTCCGACGGGCTTGTGGCTCAGACCCACAAGCATGATTCGCTGCAGAATGTGTTGCTTGCCTAATCTGATCCCACTGCTCATCTACATCACCACGTTGAGGCGTGCTTAGCTCATGCACTAGCTGACTCATAGTGCACGAACTGCTGGAATAGATAGTCGATAATGAGCTATACGAGTTTGCTGGTTTGGTCACCGGTCAGAAAGTCGGAAAGTGAACTGCATCAAAACTAATGCGTGGTCAACGCAAGTGGTCAAATAGGACCTGCAATTTTGCAATGAGCCACGCCAATGGTAGCTTCATTATCATCATCAATGTACAGCGTAATACAGTGAAGGGAGCTTCACTGATCGCTGTCAAACTCAATGCATACAAGATAAGTGAGAATGTGTAAGGAGGACAGGGATTGGGCCTACTTTTAGGGACGGGAAAAGAAAGCGAACCTTTATGGTCAACACATAGAGTACACAGCCCAACTGTGCATACATTCTACTTCAAGCATTCTGGTCTAATAAGAAGTGACAGGAAGATCACCATTGCTTTCGGTTTGCAGCCATGACATTTAGTGTCTTCAACCATGCGGTTTCGGAGTCTTTTGAACCCCATCCCGGAAGGCGAGAGACACCTACTCTACTTAATGGCTCTATGC